AAAACGCCTGATAATTATGCACCAACCCATCTCTTTGGATTTTGTCAAGAACCTCGAGATGAAAAGCGGGAGCATCAGACCATACATGGCAACAGTATTCAAATGGACGAAGGGTAAATTTGTAAATGTGAAGGATGGACTCAAACGATAAAAAAAATTCTGGCGCGACACAGAGAAGCAACTTTCTTTGCAGTAGAAGCAGCTATTGATTCAATTTAGTTATTCCACCTCAGGTCAGTGAAAAACGGGAGACCAAGAAGGCTCTAGTGAAGTTAAGCATCAACCATGCTTATAGGAGGCAGGGAATTTCTTTATGGGGAAAAGGGACCGAGGTCTCTCTATAGTGGTTAAATAACAGCAGTTTCCTTTTGGATGCATTAAAATTCACAAGCCATTTCCTGCACCAGTTTGACCACAGATCGGAGATCCTTTTCGAGACCAACGGCCAGGTTAACTTTGTCAGCAATGCCTGATTTAATATTGAGACAGGAGCAAATGGTAGTGTCGTCTGCATAGATGCCTACTTAAGAACTGGTGGCATCTGGAAGGTCATTGATGAAGTTCAGAAACAGTGGAGGACCCAGGATAGATCCTTTGGGGACAGCAGCGTTTGTATGAACGAAACTGGAAGAGAACCCGTTCAGGATGGCCATCATTTCACAGTTTGATAGAAATGACTGGATTAAATCAATTAACCGTTCTGCAATACCGTACCCTGAAGCTTACGTAGAAGGACGGCATGCCAAGCCCTGTCAAACGCTTTCGAGATGTCTAGAGACACAGATCGAGCTTCGTCGTTATTATCAAGAGCTTGGTATACATATTAAGTTATAGCTGAAATCACATCAACGATAGACCGGGCAAAGAGAAAAACCATATTGTTTGACAGGGAGTAGATCGTGGGAGGTAAGATGCTTAACCACTTCGGCATTGATTAAGGCCACGAAGACTTTGCCAAAGAGTGGTAGCAGACTTATAGGAAAGTAGATGGGTCAGAAGGGTCTCCAGAGTTCTTTAAAACAGCGACGACAGAGGAGGACTTCCAACAGTCTGGAAAGCAAGAATCAGCGAGACAATGGTTGTATTAATTGGAGAGAACTGGATCCAGCCCGGGAGCACATTTCTTTAGGACTATCCCGTTACCACCACCTGCTTTAGGAGAGTCTAATTTAGTGATGATGTCCAATAAAATCGACGGGGTTATGCACATCTCACTAAGTAGAACCTCAGTTCTAGGGGGGGGTCAGGTGTGGATACTCCGGATGAGTCAAGTGTTGAGTTGGATGAGAATTTCCGAGCAAAGCATTCAGCCTTATCAACTGTGAGTGTTAGGACTTGGAATTGATTGACTGGAGGAGGGTGTTGAGGATTTGCTGTAGTTCAGCACACTATTGCAGAGGCGCCAATAATCTTTAGAACCAAACTTGTGAGATGCAATACGTTGTTTCATTCTATCAGGAAAGTGAGGATACGCTTGCATTTAGCGAGCAGAGACAAAGAGAAGCCTGTTACAATCAGACATGTCGCTCCGATACAGATGGAAGAAGTGATTCCTGTGGGCTATAGCGGCTGAGCAAGTAGGTGAGAACCAAGGAGACGAGCGTGATTTAACTTGGCATTTGCTTACTGGGATGAAAGCCTTGATGTCAGCTTTTACCCAGGGGGAGACCTCATACGCACATTTTGGAACGAGATGATTAAAAACCACGTTTCAAGGGACGTCACGAAGCAAATCACGGAGAAAATCGCAGTCTTTGCGTTGATAACAGAATGATATTCTGTTCGTAGGAGGTTCATGACTGGTGGAAGGGAAGGAAGGAGATGTTAACAGACACAACCAAATAATCAGAGTTGCCAAGAAGGCAGAGCTGCGTAACACGACGAGTTGTCAAGGATGGAGGTAAAACAGAGATCGAGAAGGGAAGCGTGTACGAAATTCGACCACTTGTGTAAAGAATTGAGTGATTGAAAAGTTAAGGGTTTGTATGCCAGCGAGGTCAGTTACAGCGTGTTTAAGCCACATGGTATGATGGGCGTTAAATTCATCGAACACGAATATGTTTGCAAATGAATGTAGAGAGATAGCCTTGTCTATATTATTGGAAATGCTATAGAGTACACAACAGTCTTGAGTGGAAGGGGAACGGTAGAAAAAGACGAGATAGTTTACTGAATTGAGGAGAGATATATGTAAACAATATATGAATGATCTGGAGATTCCAAAGACAGTTCTAGCTAGAGGGAGATGACCGCGGACATAAACTCCATGACCATGCATGTGGATTTTAGAGTCCCTTTCTTAGGAGAAAAATGTAGCCGGGAATTGAAGAACCAAACGAGTGTTAAGCTTAGTCTCACAAAAAGCTAGTATATCAGAAGACTTCTCGAAGAGGGACGATTCCATACTGCAGATGCTGGTACGAATACCACTGATGTTAAACAAAGAAAGGTTAAAGGGTTTAGGGGTTTTTTAGCGGGTTTAGGCTTATATTTATGGTTGATTATGGTCATGATGAGGAAAAGGCTAAATGTAATAGCAGCAGTCGGTCGTCAAACGTGACATGGGCAGAAGGAAACTCGCACAGACTGCAACATAATGTGACCTCGGGGTTGCCCACCGAAGGTGCATGCTAGGTCACCCTTCCATGCGCGAGATGGCACTGCAAGAAACCCGATATTATGCAACTGTTGATCAGAGCAGCCTCTCAAGTTGCTACGCTAGATTCCGGGCTCCTAACTACCAGTCGAGAACAGCAACCAGAAAACTGCCAACCCGGTAGCCTCAGTATGAGGAAACGTTGCCACAAACCGCAGACATGGCAAGAGATTCACGACAGCACTACTACTAAGGCCAGATAAAAGGAAAGGATCCAGGAACCCCTTCCTAAACAGGAAACAATGGATGAGCCTTTACTACTATTGAAGGGAAGAGAGAGGAGTATTGACCGGGCGATAGGAAAGCCTATCTACACCTATTAAAAAAATCAACATCGGGCTTGGCATCCAAAGAAATTATCATCACAAAGAACGAGTTTCACTCAGAGAATTCAACTGAAGAGCCAAGATGGAGGCCACGGACGCCTCGACACGAGTTATGTATATATATATATATATATATATATATATATATATATATATATAGCTCGCTCATGAGCTAGAGAGCTAAAAGACACATTGGGAAGACAGGATAACTGGAGATGCTCCCCCAGCCTCTGTGGATTAGTATAGGTGGATACAGGAGAAGCATATGAGCTGTAGTGGGCATAGACAGTGAATCAGAAACTGAAATATAAAGTTTTGACTTGGTTAAGTGCAACATTCACTACTTGTGGAAGAAAAAAGTTCATCGCCCGTGAACCACGTTTAAAAATAGTGTCCTATACTTGCCCGAGTTAGGGAAATCCCCAAGAAGGTAATATTCAAGAAAGTTTTCAAAGAGGGTAAAATAAATCCAATTCAGTTAAAAAGCAAAAAAGAGAGGAAAAAAACAAAAAAAAAACTTAGTACCGAGGATAGCTTATACATACATATTGGAAAGAGAGACAGACAGACAGACAAAAAGGGATAAGTAAATCAAATAAAATGATCAAAGAATGAAATTCAAAGAAATATATACACACATGACAAGCGACGATATTCTTTTTCACATGGCTGCTGAGATGAATATTTAAGCATGGAGTGACATATTTTTGTTGGTAATGGCTAGCTAGTAGGATGATCTTCCTTAATGAAAATCGTCAATGATTTAAAATGGTGAGAACGTTACTTTCAATGAAAGGTTACAAAATTCAAGAAACATCGTAGTTAATCATTGTCATGTATTCAGGCATTAATAAGTAAAGGATGTTACTCAGCCATTTAATACTTATTTCCCTTTGATACAAACGTTTTTCAACCTCTTTGCGCGAGAGAGAATATGTTAGTAAACAAGCGAGATTGTAACAGAACCCAAAATTTAATAAACGCTATTTTCCTAATAAAATTATATGTGCTACTCAGAAGGCCATACGAGTCGCATGTTTCCATGTCTGCCATAGATTTTACCAGGAAAACATTGTGTTAATAACAACAAATATGAAGACAATAGTCTGAATAATATGTGAATTAATGAAAAGTTTTCTTTTGAAAATGTTGAAGAACATTTAGAGAAAGGTTGTTTTTAATGACTATAAACTTGCGGGGGATTTTTTTTTTTCATTGATATTATTGTGCTTAAAGTCGATATTTCAATCAGATTCATTCCTCAATAGACACCATTTCCTTTCTACTTCTTTTGTGCCAGACTCAAAGAACCAATTTTCATGGCCAAAATATGCCAAAGTTTTTCGTTATAAAGATTATATTTGATTTCTTCTGCTTAAAGATAAGCTTTTTGTATCTACTTTACACTAAGTACTATTAATACTGTATTTTTTTTTTGTTTTCCAGAACTTCCTAACGTAATAATTGTCAAACGTCGTCCTGACTAGTCAAAGCTGAACGCTAAACAATTCGGTCCTTTTCTCACGTCACCTGGGTTGTTTATATTTGTATTTCAGTTAGATGAATCATTGAAGAGTCTTTTATAAAGGGAGATAACTCTTTTCATCTCTTGTATCTAGCGCCTGAAAATAAATAAAGAAGCGGGAAAAATATATCTTTAAGAGTAAATCTTCAAAGAAATAGAGGCAAAAATATCAACGAAGCTAAATAAAAAAAAAATTAAAAACGGAAGATAACCCTTGCATCTAACACCTGAAAAGAAAGAAAGAAAGGAAGGAAGAAAGAAAGAACCAAGCCTAACAAATAAAAGCTTGTTAAAAAAGAAAAAAAAGAAAAATATATGAAAAAAAAAACGGAAACAAAATTCTAATATAAAAACACGGTGAAAGAAAACATTAAAAAAACACACAAAAGCTAATAAACATACACGGTTAAAAAAAACCCAAAAAAAAAACCTTCTTTTTTTTTAAAGTCTCCTTCCAATTTCTGGAACTCTACATTAACGACATTCCTGCAAAATGGCGGCGCTCGCATCAGCCGTCACATTACACAGTCTTCTACCGGCCTTAAATACTACTCTTTACAACATCTCCATCACAGGTGCGAATCAGTTAGGTAGTAATGTAACGAATATTGGCAGGTCGACGGAAGTTGCCAGCATTCATTATTCAATGGCGGTCACCATCACCGAAGCATTTAATGGTAGTATCGACTACGATGAATATTACCTGGAACGGATCCCTTATCCACGGAAGCTTAAACAGTACCCCGTGTGGGAAATTTTGCTCAAGATCTTCATTTATGTCCTGGTGATAGTCATGGCTACCACTGGCAATTGTCTTGTCATTACAGTGGTTTTTACAAACAGCCGGATGCGGACTACGACCAATTATTATATTGTGAATTTAGCTGCGTCGGATTTGTTAGTGACTCTTTCATGTTCCTGGGTTCATCTAGTGTCAAGTCTGAACGAAGATTGGGTACTGGGCGCCTTCTTCTGTAAATTTAACAGCTTTGCGCAAGGTAAGGGTTTTCCATTTTTAATGTTCTCTCTACTTCTCTCTCTCTCTCTCTCTCTCTTTCTCTCTCTCTCTCTCTCTCTATCTCGCTGTATTTATATCTATCTCACACTGATCATATCTATCTATTTAGCTAGCTAACATTTCTAATTCTTTCTTTCTTCATTTCTTTCTTACTTTTCCATCTATTCTATCTATCTATCTATCTATCCCATTCTGTTTCTATCTATCTATCCCATCTATCTATCTATCTATCTATCTATCTATCTATCTATCTATCTATCTATCTATCTATTCATATCTATATATATATATATATATATATATATATATATATATATATATATATATATATATACACACATCTCAGTCTGTTCATATCTATCATTTCATTTCTAATTCTTTTCTGTGTCTATCTTACAGTTTTTTCTTGAACAATTTCTCTTCTTTTTTTTCTTTGCGTAAACATAAAATCACACTGTGTCGCCGGTCCAATATGGATTTTGATAAAACAAAGTAAAATGATTGCATTTGTGAAACTCGTTGCGACATTTTTTTTTATTCTGTCGCCTGCATAAATATCCTAAGAACACAACGGATATTATTGTAAGATATGGAAAGTTCAATGTTAAAGATTATTTTAGATTTCTCAAGAGTCTTAACTTCCTGGAATTAAACTTTGACTGCTTGAGACTTTGAAACAAAAAGCAATGGGAAAATTTGGCAAATTAATGCTGTTTTACGAACAGAGCACAATCTTTTATGAGAAAGTGAGGATTCAAGATGCCTTTGTTGTCTAGAAACGTCCTTAACTTCTCTGCTTTGGGACGACTTCCTTCTTGATAAATAAGTTGCAAATATTTTATTTATGTTACTTAAATATATTTTCTTTTTAGTTTTACGTTTTTTTATTTTTTCATAACGACGTTACGGACTTTCTTCAGGTATTTGTTGTCTTTTGCAATGTCAGACCTTTGCTCTGTGGAGGGATACGCCTCTGCAAGTAAGCACGTTATATCTGGTACCCAGGCGTGAATGTTATTAAGATTTTCTTTTCATTTTACTTCTGTATCGAACCCAAAAACCAAACATCGAACTTCCAAAAATCTCTCATCTCTGGGAACATTCCCGAATTCTTATCGCTTGATTAAGGGCACTCAAAATCTATGCTTGGCGTGATGGTCGAGTTATCTAAGCACCAGTACGTGTGAGGATTATTTCAAGCTTCTTATTATACTGTGTCACTTCATAAGAAGATAATCCTAAGAAGAATAGGCTCAAGAACCGGGACGTGACTCGTTTGGGAGGGGAAACCGCATGTTCTTTCAGATAAAAGAGACACAGGTAATGAAAATACCGATGAAAATAAGCAGCTGGACTTTTCTATTAAAACCAAATAATAGAGAAAAGGATGATAGTCCGAAGTATCATGTATAATTACGTAATGCTTCTAAGAAAGAAAAGTTCAGACAATAATGCCTGAAAATATCTGAAAAGAACTGAAGAATAAAGGTATCTAAACCTCCTGTGAGGAATTTCTCTTGGACTAGTTTCATAAAGAATTTGAGAAAAAAAAAACACAAGTAAAAAGGAATCATCTTGTGAAAGAATAACGTTCCTTATTATCTTAAATTTTATTAAATAAATTATTTTCAACTATAATTCATTTTATTTGATATTCCTTTCATCTTAATTTTACTTGGTTTGTATTATTACTAGTAATATTATTATCTTGACCTCTCCTTAGATGGAGCATTGTTGCTTATTATTCATCTATGCCTAGATTTATTTCAATACCTTTATTTCCAAAAGTCGTATGAGAAGTTAAAATACAAGGTGACCCCCCAAAAAACGGGAACTATTTAACAATTAAATAAAACCAAGAGTGATGGAAGAAAAATATTTTATTCATAGTAATTGAAACTTTAAAACATGCCATTTAAGAAACAATGAGGAATTTTCATTTTTAAAAAATTACGTCCTGTAGATGGCGTCCTCCTGTACGAATGCATTCTTGAAATCTGCTGTTGAGATTCCTCATTGACTGCTACAACATCTCAGTTGGGATACTGTGAATTTCATCTTGAATTCTAAATGGCGAAATGTTTACTTGCTCATGTCTGGCAATACGCACTTCAAAAATTCCCGTTTTTTGGGGTCACCCTGTATTTGTGAATTTCTATTTGATGAAGCATTGTTAACCATCATTCATTTTTGACTCGTATTTCTTTCCTCTTGACTTTAATTACTTTATTTCTACTAGTAGTATTAGTAATAATATTATCTCGATTTTTATTAGATGAAGAACTGTCAAACATTATTCATTTTTAACAAGATTACTTTCATCGTAAATACTGAGATCGTTACTCTATGACACTAGTAAGCTGCGCGGATTGCAATTAAATATAGTAATCAAGGCATCATTAAAAGTTTAAATGGTTAGCTTAGATCTTCTTCCGGTCTTTCGACTCTTGTAAATTAAGCAGTAGATCACCCGCAATTATCAAACTCTCTAATGCCTTCATTACGTATTCCCAGAAATTTCAAATCACGCTTTCTTATTCTAAGTCGTTTTCGTTCCGATTCGCTTTAAAAATTCTTCTTTGCTCACATGTTACGTCAATTCTGGTATTCCTAGAATTCTCTGGAAACCCACTTCCATTGTGTCAAGTTTCGTCGTCATCTGTGATGAAACTGTTCAGTATTCCCTGCCTTGTAGAAGGATTAATAGTACGCAACAGTTTATCTTTATTTGTAACGAAATTTTCCTGTTTCTTAATCTTATGCTTATTTTCTGAAAGGCATTTTTCCTTATTCCTTTACGCCTTCCGATTTCTGTATCACGTTTTCAGTCGTCTGTAATATTCCCCCCGTAACGTCAAAAAAATGATGACTGCATTTAAGTAATTTTGTAAATGCATCCGATATAATTTCTGCCTAAAGAATCAAGGACATTTGTTCATTTTATTCTAGTAATGAATGTAAGTAAGTCTTTTGCTATTAAGTCAGTAAAAGTAAGTAAAGATGGCAAAACCAAAATAAGAATAGTAACAAAACTAATGTCTGTCTATATCTCTGAGATGAGGTATCATGGTTATTTAAATTATTTACATTATTCGGACTGTTATCCTCATCTTCATTTCCGTATGCACCATGTTTCAGCCGTTGTACGCTCCGGCCTTCATCGGATGATTGGAATTTCGAATGGAACCCTTTATTTCGGGGCAGATTGTTCTAGTTTCACGTGCCATGCCTCTTCTGGATGTTTCAGTTATTTCCCTTTAGCCCAACTCACGTTCACATGAAGAAGGCCGATAAAGTTGGATAAATGCGTTGGTTAACTCCAGTGGCTAGACCCAAAGAGCTGTGAGCTCAATACGAGGCTTCAGCAGTGGTAAACCAAAAATCTTGAAGGGTTGAGTTAAAGGAAAATAACTGAGAGAGGCATGGCACGTGGAACTAGAACAATCTACCCCGATGGGCGAAATAAAGGGTTCGGTTCGAAATTCCAATCACCTGAAGAAGGTCGGAGCGTAGAACAGCCAAAAAAAAAGGAATATGGCGATGAAGATGAGGATAACAGTCCGAATAATGTAAATAATGTAAAAAGTAATGTTCTGCTAAAAACTAATATACATACTGGCTTTAATTAATACCTTCTGTTACTATAACAACGAAGTATTTCATTAATAAAAATAAGAGATCAGTTTGCATGACCGATAAATATATAAAGTCGTATTTTGTGTGTGTGTGTGTGTGTGTGTGTGTGTGTGTGTGTGTGTGTGTGTGTGTGTGTGTGTGTGTTTTTTTTATTATTATTATACAGGGTGTTTCTAAATTCTGGACACCCTAGGCAAAAACGCATATTTTCAAAAAATGAAATTTTCAACATTATATGGAATTGAAATATTAACAAATAACATCTTCAAAATGATTTCCATGATTTACGATGCAAAGATTGATGCGCTTTGCAGGATTCACGTGAACTCGATGCAATACCTCCACATTGCCACCAATTTTAGCACATTCACTCTTTATGCGTTCAATTACTTATGTTGCATCTGTGAATTTCATTGAGCACACCTTCTCCTTTAGCAGACCCCAGAAAAAAGAAGTGAATTCTTTCTTCTTTCCATAAATCATGTTTAATCTGTAGAGGAAAAAAAAAGAGATTTCCTAGGTGTCCAGACTTTAGAGATACGCTGTAAAACAGTAAATTATTAAGAAGGTTACGAATAAGAAGTCGATGATATTCTGTAAGGGATGCTAATGTATACTTATTTCTCATAGTAGTACAACATCAATGACAAAACAAACGAAATATGGTGAAAAGTTCTCCGCTCAACAAGCAAAGATTCCTTTTTAAATTCTGGTTACTCAATTGACCAAATATTGGTTTAAGTTAATTTGTTGAATTTTCCGACATATTCCTGTAAGTTCATTTAACACCCAAATGACACTTAAAAGCAAACATTGGAGGTGTTTAAACTTGAATTCATAGCCAAATATATACCTATAAATGTTGGTTGCATTTATAATAGAGTATATAGGTAAACATTAGTGATGTTTATACTCAATTGCATAGATTGGTCAGATTTATATTTGAATCCACAAGTATTCAGCTTCTAGGTAGCACATTTGCGGATATTCTTCCCTTCCGAAGGTGCTGCAGTAGGTATTTTCTAGACCCCACTTACAGAGCAAGAAAACTTGGAGTTGTGGATCGAGCTGATATGAATCACAAAAAGGCAAGCTTTTTATTTTCTAAATTACTTTTAGTCTGAATTGATTAAATTTTAAGCTAATCATTTGGTTTGGTTTGGTTTGTCACGGCATATCAACATCTCAATGGGTTATTTAATGCCGACAAGATTTTTATTGCTGGTAATATTTTTTGAAAATGTATGGCTGATAATAATTTATTGCTGGTAATCATTTTTCTTTGCTGATATTAAAACCTATTTTTACACATTCATAATGTTTTACCCCAGTTTGGTGGTTAACTATTTGCTCATAGCTGGAACCCTGGACCTGGGAACACCAGCAATTAACAGATGGTTCTACGCTCCTCAAAACCTCCTGATCGAAAGTCTTACTGCCGGATGTAGTTTATCGTCATAACCAGGATACTGAAAATGATTGATTTCTTTTAACAGTTTCTCAAACCGTTGTGGGTTATTTAATGCTGAAACTTATTTTGGATTGTAGAAATTTTTTTGCGAGTGGAAATTGCATTAATTATGATTTGTCTAAATGGAAAGCTTACTATTTAACCCCATAGCTGTGGAGAGGGTGGATTCTTACATTTTCGAATATTTGTGCGTAAGTGGATATAACGAACTCGACTGGAATTCGAGCTCAGTTCTGCGATTTCTCATTCACCGCCCACAAGACATGAGAAGCTTTGAGAATCATTGTATAATCAATGTGCTTCCATAACTAATTTTGCTTCTGTTTCTACAGCAATGTATTGCGAAAGAAATAACAGAATGTATTTATTGGCTATCTGCCGTCCAATCAGAATTCGATTCCCACTTTTAAGAAACTGCCACTGTACAAACAATAAATAAGAAAAATAAAGTTTGAATTAATAAATGAATACAACAGAAATCACTTCACTGATAAAATCGTTTCCACAGAAATCGGCCAATTTCATGTTGAAACTTATACATTACCAGACATTTTCAATATTCTAATCTGATTTGAAATGGTCAGTTTAGTTGTGTAAAATGTTTCATCTTCATGAAGTTGAGAAGAGATAATTACGAAATGGTTCTAGTTGTTAAAATAAATGGAGAAGGTGTCTGCTAAGGGTGAAAAAAGAAATGCAGATTATTGGACTGAATGATCGAGAGAGCATATAATCATCTTATCGTTTAAAATGATTATTCACAACATTTGCACCAGGGAAAATCACGGACACACCACCAGACGAATAAATTAAATTGTTAGATTGGAAGCGAATAAAACACTGTAAGAATGAAAAATGTACGAAAATTGGAAGCTTTTGATTGATGAGAGGTAAAATAACAGTCAGACACACACAGAGTCAGACACACAGAGTCAGACACACACACACACACACACACATATATATATATATATATATATATATATATATAATTATTATTTATAAAAAAAAATTATAACATAAGTATGTTATAAAATCACTACAAAAATAACCATTTTGTTTCAACACCCTCGGTGTCTTATCAAGTGATGATGTTCTTTTTTTTTATAAATAATAATTATATCTACTCTACTTTGTATTGAGCACTCTTTTAAGAATAGTAATTGTTGGTTATTGGAATTCATTCCGTAAATACCAATTATATATATATATATATATATATATATATATATATATATATATATATATATATATATATATATATATATATATACCTACGTTTGGTGTGCGACTCGAGTTTCGTTGTACACCCAACTCGTCTGGCACGAGTTTGACAACAAACGAAACTCGAGTTGCACACTGAATTTTATAAAATATAATATTTATTAATATATATTTCTTAACTCTGTCTAGTCACATTAGGCACTATTATGTCTACACCTCTTAGATAAATTTGGTAACTATTTATTTGCTTGCCAGCGTATGCACGCCAGCACGCGCAGGAATGGTCGCTAATATCTAGTTATCTCATTTGCCTAACCCTATACTCATGTGTATATATATATATATATATATATATATATATATATATATATATATATATACAATTATGATAACATAACCGACCAGGTGTTTCTAATTTTATTGTATTTTTCCAATTTTCGAATGAGGTGTTGGACGTTGTGATCAACATTGTTGATAAACTTTCAAAGTTCACTTTTTAAAGTCCTTTCGAATATCTCTGTCATTTTCAAGAATATATTTGTTGTCTGTGTGGGAGGCAGTATTCCTTTGTTTATATCCTGGTATTCATTGATAAGCTGACCGTTTGAAATACGGTCTATGTGCTACGGTTATTGAAAATAATAATTAAAATTTATACACACACACACAGATAGATAGATAGATAGATAGATAGATAGATAGATCCCGTTATTATATGGGATACTCGTGTTTGAAATAGATGCCAAGTTTTTATTTTATTTAAACCGTGCCTATTAAATCTATCAGCCTGCTCACTCAAGTAATCTTAATAATGATGCGCAGATTTCAAAGCTTTCCTATCCCTTTAATCCGGCAAAATTTAAATCATCAGGTTAATAAGAATGATGGATCAAACGGTGATTTTTCCGACAAGAGGATGCATGCATATATATATATATATATATATATATATATATATATATATATATATATATATATATACATACATATACACACACACACACACACATATATATATATATATATATATATATGTGTGTGTGTGTACATAATATAAATATATATATATATATTTTCTATCTTTCTTATCGTCAAAATCTTCACTTTCTACAAAATCCTCTTTCATTAATATCACGCACCACGCTAATTATAATTATTTTAAGTGTAACATTTAAGTCTAACATTTAAGTGTAACTCTCTAACTGCAGTGGCTCTCGTGCACTGTACTGGGTTAACTTTAGTATTAATATATATATATATATATATATATATATATATATATATATGTGTGTGTGTGTGTGTGTGTGTGTGTGTTGTGTGTGTGTGTGTTTAACATTTCACTTGAGCTGACATATACTATACTCTCATCCTGTATTTTACAAAATGGTAAAATGTGACAGCTGGTCGGTTTCACCTTGTGTGCCAATCACGTTTGCATGCCGACTATGGACTTAAATTAGCCAATCCAACATGCTGTTTCGTCTAATGTGGGAAGTGCTGTCTCAAGGTCGCATCTTTGGGACTAGGCTGACTTCGTGTTAAACGGAGTCCTGAAGTAGACTAGGACAGAGTTGAGGACAATTCGACATTCTTATCCTTCGTAAAAATGCCGGTGAGGGACTGATTCTGGACATAACACTCGTGATATCCTAAGCCTAGAACAGAAATACCGAGATTGCACGGAAAATTTTTTTTTCATTTTTACGGGTATTATGCTGGTTGGAATGATAATAACCAAGATGAAAATCCGCTTGAAAATAAATAAAACCAAAAAATTAAACACAGGAACAGTGCTCAATAATTCACGCATGTTGAGTAACATATACAAAAAAATACAATTCATGCAAACGAAAGAATCCAAATAGTGTGAAATAGATTATTAAAGAGATAGATAGAAAGACAGAGGATGGAGAAAGGGAGACGAAAAAAAAGTGAGGTAAAAGAAATAAGAAGGAAGGAAATAGAAGGACGGGAGGGTGGTAAAGTAATTACAGAAGAGCGGAAGTGAGTGAGAGAAAAAAAAAAAAATGAAGAGTGTGGCGTAAAACGAGGTGAGTAGAGAGAAGGAAAGAAAGACGGAACGGAAAGAAGCGATTGAATTAGCAAGGGAGGGTTAAAAGAGAAAAATAAAAAAAAAAGTGTAACTTAGAGAGAGAGAAAATAAAAAAAGTGTGAGATTGAGAGAGAGGGATAGGGTGTGAGAGAAAGTTGAGAAAAGTAACGTGAGGAAATGAGAAGAGAGCGAAGAAGTCGCAAAAAAGAGAGAGGGAGAAAGAAATCAGGAGAGAGAAAGAGAGAGTATCGAGAAAGAGCAACACTCTTTTTTATTTACCTTCAAAAAGATTAACAATATTACTTTTTTGTTGATCGTCTTGCAATTTTGGAAGGTGATTTTGGAAGGTCAAATTTTAGTACATTAGGATCAGAAGTAATATTCATTGAAATATGATAATAAAAAAAAAAGAACCTAACCGCGAGACATAATCTTTTAATTTGAATATTAAACATTTTTTTTTTATTCTTACTGGAAAAGTTGGTTGATATGATATTTTTAAATGTCTCTCCCTTCAGGACATTGGTGATCATAGATTTTAATAGATTCCTTTTCTTTATTAGCTGCGAATTGCCATAACATTATGGAGTCTAGTATGATACGCATATTTTTGTGGCTAAAAATAGACATGATGTTAAGCTATTGCAGAAACAATAACAGTCTTTACAAGAACGAATAAAAAGCGCAACAACTATCTCTCTCTCTCTCTCTCTCTCTCTCTCTCTCTCTCTCTCTCTCTCTGGACATTGGTCGCGAAGCACTTTATATCAACAGTTCGACAGTCTAAGACGATGTCATCAAAATGCTACTTTCACAAGTCATATTTCACTGCCCTGAAAAAGAGTTTCATAATATTTTCAGGTATGAACATTTTCCTCCATCAACCACATTTGTACACTTTTTTTCTCGCCATTTGCTTGTTATAAAATTGTTTTATTTACTGGCTGCATCCCGATTCACATGATTTGCCTTTGTCTCTCTTTCTCTCCAAACCTGATTTCTATTGCCACTATACTTTTAGGGTCTAGCAAACAGTAACATAATTTATGACTTTCAGGCATGATGACCATGTGTCTTTATTTAAATGTAGTTTTAGGAGTTACTTTTAAAAGTTTCATCTTCTTAAGTCTTCTAGAATACGCAGAAATAAATAAATAAAAATACATTTTCAAATTGCAATGACAATTTCATTAGGTGTAAACATAGATATGTAAGATTTGAATTGGTATTGCTTTGTTTTGTTGCTGTTTTTGTTGTTTTTTTATTTGTTTTTTTTTTTTTGCCATTTCACGCCAAAGATGACAATTAAGCCACAAAGAAGCAAAAAGCGTTACTGACGTGAGAGAATATGAGAAAAAGAAAATAATATTAAAGCAAGAGAACAATAAAAGAACAGGAATTAAGAAGACAGAAGATAACGATTGACATGGCATTTAAATTTTTGAAAGTCAAAGTTGTCTGGCAAGCAATAAGCTAGAAGCGAGTTCCCCGGGCGAGAAGTGCGATAGAAGAAACTGTTAGCATAGGACTTACGGTGACATCAACCTATTTCAAGTTGTGAGACCTAGCCGCCAATCCAGTGCTGCATTTAAATTTTAAAGAGGAAAGCTCATGAGAATAATTACTATGAAAGTATTCACAGAAAATGTATAGCGGAAGCTACGTTAAGTCAGCGGAAAAGTGACTGAAACCGAGATGCCAGGTCAAGATCAATAACATTGCAGATTCTTTTTGGGATTTCACCAACAATCTCTAAATACATAGCACGAGCACCAGACTAGTTGTGGCTACAATATTCAATGCATGGATAAATGGTAGATTTATAAATATATAAGATAGATTTTGGAGAGAAAAATTGTCTTACTAGACGCAGTGAACAAATAGCGGGGAACGTTAGCTCGAAAAGGCGTACTGAGTCACTCTCCTGAAAGACAAAAATCAGTTCTCTCAGACAATTAAAAGATAGGAATTTTTAAAGCCGTTAAAATTAACAAGCCCTTTCTTGCCCCTATTAACAACATATTTTGTGTCATTTTAAAGATCAGCTGCCGATTTGATCTTATCGAACCATTTAGGCTTACTATTAAGACATGGATAAATGGTTGTGTCATTAGCAGAGTTGTTGAGTTGAGAACTGATGACATCAGGAAGATCGTTGATGAAAATTAGGATCAACGGATGCCCTAATTTTTTAATTGTTTTAAAATGTTGTTCCATCAGATTTACTAGGAACACAAAAGAAAGTAGATTTACTAAAATCCAATTTTCAAGTACATTTGGCGCGGGAAGATATTTACAAAACTGTTGTCACAACACTATTTGGCTTGTTCTAATGGATGCCATTCGGTTTCAGGAATGGATATCAGACATTTCAAAGACCCATCGACGAATTCTTCAGTGATTAACCGTTCTTGTACCTCTACATTGATGACCACATTATGGCCAGTTGGGACAAGCTAAAAAAAAACCGTATTTTCTTGTGTATAATACGAATTGAATGTATAATATTATCTGAGCCTCGTAATACAGACATCCAGATATAATTTCTTTTTTGATCCTTCATGTTTCTATATTTTTGAAGTCATATTATGTAAAACTTTGTCACCATATTTGTACAACGTTTCCGAGAATATTTCTGAGATGAGGTATTATAAATCCATTATTCGGACTATTGTCCTCATCTTTGTCGCCATATTTATTAAACGTTTCGGCCGTTGTGAGCCTTCTTCAGGTGGTTGGAATGTCGAACTACAGACTGGTGTCCTGTTCTAATTCCACGTGCCATGTTTTCGCAGCGCCGACTGTCGTTCTAAAGATGTTGTACCTTCTGAGTCTCGGCCAATCCTGGTCTATCTTTCCTCCTCCTTCGTGCGTCATGGCCATGATTTAGTCAGGTATCTTTCCTCCTCCTTCGTGCGTCATGCGTGATCTTGGCCAATGACGTCTTAGTCGACGTGAACAATCCGCGGTTTTGTTTACTTTATTCGGACTATTGTCTTCATCTTTTGTCGCCATTTATTTATTACAACCAAGTTTCGGCTGGCTGGCGTTTCTGAAGCGAAATAAAAAATATTTCATTTTCCTTTCGGCTCATGTGTTGATAACTTTTATTATCAGGTGGAAAAAAATTTGCCAGTGAGAATGTTCGGGTGGGATTTTTCTAATTCTGAAACCCTTGTTCAACATTTTTCTTTTCCTGGGTCACTGGGGTAACAAAATTCCATTTTTTCGTGCCATGTTTTTAATGAATGTCTAGATATTTCCATCTGCTACCTATCAATTCTAGCCGTTTGTCTGTGTTCCCTATGACCCGTTTTCGTATTTTTTTCTTTCTTTTTCTCTTTTCTCCTTTCACTGAATCCAAAACCTAAAATATTTTTCGCCTTTAAATCCACTGTGCTTTCAAATCGTCAGGATCATGGTGCCACATGTTTTAATGAATGTCAATTGTCAGTTATCTCCCTGTTAATTCCCCTCTCTAAGTTCTTCACTGCCTTAACCAGAACTCACCTCTCTCTGTCCTGTCAAACTAACATAGCTTTACCACTGTGCCAAACGAAATAAAGGTTCAGTTCGACATTCAACCACCTGAAAGAAGGCCGGGCGTACAACAGCCGAAACGTTGTAATAAATATGGCGACAAAGATGAGGACACTAGTCCGAATAATGTAAATAAGGTGTACCTTGTTATACATTTTATATTATCTACACAAATTACAGTAATATTATGCGATTTAAAATTAGTGTATATAGCGATATAATTATGTCGGGGTGGTTCACGTATTTATATTGTATTATTTTATGCATCTCATATTGTTTGGAATTTTCAAACTGGATATTTTTTGTCCTTCATGTTCGGAGGAATATGAAACGAAAACCTACCAGCATGGGAATTATTTTTCAAGCGAAAACATCAAAAACTACATAATTTATGCACTAGTTCGGCTATTATTGTAACATTAATCATTAATGTTAAGATACTATTTCATTGAATTTCTTCTGTTTGAGACAAGACAGTCAATTAAACTGATTCACAAAGAAGAAATATTGCTAACATATCAAATACTTTTTATAAACAATTGTTATCAACACCTGCCTATTTTTTATATTACTAGCAGTAGAGCCCGGCGTTGCCCGGGATGTAACAGTAAGGGATAGATCAAGTATCGACCATCATAAAGACTGAAAAATAAAATTGACAAAGATTATTGTTTAAGGTTGACGGACACGCATGTCTTAATTATATTTTTTTGTTTTTGTTTTGGCTTTTTTTTTTTTTTTACGATTTGGTCAAACCCAAACTCAAGCAAAAACATTGTTTTCAATCGTTATGAGTCTCCCGATTGAATAGAATTTTTATAAAACAATTGTCTTGTAAATGGAATTTTAAAGCATTCTGAATGTAAAAATAAAAAAAAAAAAATGTGCAAGACAATAAGAAACACACCTGCCAAAAAAAAAAGAAGTTTTTATTTGAAATCGGTTGAAAATGTAAAATGTCTCATAAAACGAACCGATCTCATATATAAACGAACATACACACACAAACAAACAACCTGGGTTTTTTATAATAAGTATAACTCGATATGAGTTGTCCCCCTTTCATACTCGAAACAGCGATGCCTTTTAATCGTGTTTTCAAATTGGTTTCGTGCAAAAACAATTGTGTTTTTCCAATTTTTGGCACTGTCAGAACCACCGCAAGGTAATTTTACGTAGTCCTGTGAAGTTTTGTTGAAATTGGTTGAAAAATGTAGGATTACCGATCCAATATATAAACGAACAGACACACACACACAACCTGGGTTTTATAATAAGTATCATTATCTATTGTGCCGACTGTATTTGCAATCTTTCTATTACAAATAGTCAGTTATGTGCAATGCGCGATACACGCTTAGACTTTCGATACATGACTGACGGATTTTTCCCGCGGTAGGTTGCCATTTCTTTCTGCGGTAGACCAATTGCCATTTAAGTCTGTCCTGCTATTTACTCATAGCTGGGGAGAGAAGAGGATTCATACCTCGTAAGTGAATGTAATGGTTTTGACTGGAATTCGAACTCGGCTCACTGATTCCTCAATCGGAGCTGCTATCCATTACTCCTCCGTAAGGATTTTTAAAAGCTGGGTCAAAATCTCTGACATCGTCTACAATATGATCGCTTTTTTTACTTTAATATTCGTTCAAAATTTCTCGGATTATAAACAATAAAAATATGGTAATTCCTGCAACAATGTCTCGAGAAGGATAAAAGAATGAATTCCGTTGTCTTCTCTAAGGTCTGTATCCAGAATATTCGTTCTTTTACACTGGTTGCCATCAAAGGCGAGGAAAGAAACAGTCTACTCTAATAGTTTACATATTATAGATGGGAGAAATCTGAAAATGATTGTTATCGCCAAATATTTCATAGTACAAAAGGTTTATAATCCGTAAAAGAAAACAACACAGTCTACAATAATAATTTATCTATTTTTTATTGAAAAGAAGAGAAGGATTTATGCCTTTCCCAAGGGTGTTAGTAAATGGTATGAAAATACGAAACTAGAATTTGAACACTGTACGTCGATTTCGCTTCTCGCGACAATAACCGCTACGCTACACGTACATTTGCGGTTATGATATTACTTGTGTGAAAATGTGACCGGGAAACCAAATTTTAATTCCGACAGATACTTCATGTTTCCTTTGCATATGCATTTCGGGAAAGGCCTGAATTCACTTCTCATGCTTAGGAGTGATTTCGCGAACCCCGTCTCCATATCCACCTGATCAGCCGGTAAAGACGAAAAACTGAGAGTAAACTCAAGATACACAGAAGATGAATGCTAAAGAGCTTAGTCTTCTTACCAATCTGGACGCTATACATGATTTCTATATGAAAGTCTAAAACTGCCGATGTTATTTCAGTCTTGATTCGAGCTTTAATTCAAAATCATTCTTTTGTCGGCTCTTATGGACAAAACACCCCTAGAGAAAACTATCCTCTGTCCATTTTCCTTATGTCTTAAACTAAATTTGTCATAACTTCTACATACACTGAGGTATGAGTAGTGTTCAGACTGTATCAATTCAATATTCTAAATATTTACGATGGATTCAGGATAGGTTTAGAAACTATTTTCATTCCATTTACTGTTCACAGTTTCTGTTTTGGAATAGTTTATTTGAAGCCCTCCTCCTTTTCTTTTTTTTAAACGTTTCACCTCAAGCAAGGCGGGAAGCCACTAGCAATCAAGGGGTTACAGAGAGTTGGAGCTAGAGCAAATAAATGATTGATAGAGGAAAGGATGAAGAGAAGGATAGGGGATAGATCAAGGCATCTGGAGACGTCGATTGACATTACATTTGAATAGTTGGAGATTATAGCTATCAGGGAAACAGGAAGAGGGGGGTAGTTCCACAGGCGAGAGGTGCGAGACTTGAAGCTATTGGAGTGGGAAAGACGGCTACATTAAACAGTTTCGACAGTGAAAGGGTGTGAGCGAGATGTCAGCCTAAATTCATGAAGTCTGGGAACCAGCGAAAGCAGCTCATCGGAGCAGTTACCGTGGAAGTATTTGTAAAAAAGACAGAGGGAGGCGACGGCATGTCTGTGAGAGAGCGACTGTAGATGAGATGCCAGATCAAGGCCAATTACGTTGCATATCCGTCTCTGTATGTTATCAAGAACCTTGAGACAAAAAGAAGGGGCTCCAGACCATATATTGCAGCAATACTCCATGCAAAGGGCGAACGGTTGATTTGTAGATTTGAAGGATCGAATCCGGCGAGAAAAATTTCCTGGCTGGAACATTTGGTAGAAAAAAGATGATTTTTTTATGGCCCAAATCATTGTTATCGCAATTATGAATACCTACGTCTACAGCATTGTAACGCTATAGTACACTGGCCTCTAGAAAGAAAACAATTTTTTACCGTTTTCTGTTATTAGATTCATTTGGAATGTCGTACGAAATGTTTAAATAACTTAGGCCCATTTCTTTACATCTGTGCTTTTACACATCCCAAATACATAGTCTATGAATATACTAAGAGATTAACTCATACTTTCTTTGTCGTCAAGTTTGTAAAGGGAACGTTATCTTCTTCTTCTATGTGCCGTGTCCCTTCACAACATTGTGATCATGGCTCTCCACACATTCCTCTCCGAAACATTAGTAATATTTTTGTTTTCTCTCCTAAACCCTGTTCCGCCAATTATTTTCACAAGGTAGTTTAGGCAAGAGTCATGTGTTGCTTCCATTTGTCTCTCTTGCTTTTGTTATATCCTGTGTGCGTTAAATTTTCCAAGCCCTCTTTCCTCATTATGTACCTTAAAATTTCAATTTTCTCTTTCTGATGTTAAGTATAACTGTCCTTTTTGTTTCGGTTGCCTCTAAATATCTAGGTTTTGCTCCTGTATTCAGATAATCCATGTATTATCTTCATTCTTTAGTCCTGCAGTTCAGGGAATTTGATTTTTTAAACATTTCACCCCAAGCAAGGGGTGAGTGCCACTAACACGCAAGGTGTTACAGAGAGTTGGAGCAAAAATAAAGAAGAGGTTGTTTGAGAAAGGATATAGAGAAGGGCGGAGATCAGGACCAAGACATCAAAAAGATATCGATTGACGTTACATTTGAATATTTGAAGATGATAAGTTATCAGGGCAGCAAGTAAGAGGAAGGAGTTTCACTGTCAGGAAGTGTTAAAGAAGAAGTTGTAGTAGAAGGGCATTTACATTTAAATGTTTCGGCAGTAAAGGGAGGGACTGAGATGCCAACTTAGTAGCACGCTTAAATTCAGCTTGGGTACCAAAGTAGCTTGTCAGAGCAGTTACCATGAAAATATTTGTAGAAAAAGACAGAGGAAGCCACATAACGTCTGGCAGAATGCGACTGTAGACGAGATGCCAGATCAGAACCCTCACATTGCATTTAATCGCCTTTCTATGCGTGTTTAACGTGTTCAGTGTTGGTTTCCATCTTCTTTCAGTTTCTTTACATAGCAGCAGAGATAAAGGCAAAAGAGCCATTATACTTGAGACGACCAGAACAAGAAGAGAAGAAAGCCTCCATTCTTTTTGACAAAGAATAAAATGACAGATAATTTCCTATTCAGTTTCAAGAATCTTAAAACTTAGACATTTACTCTTTCGTTATTGATTCCTTATTTACCTGTCGACAAGAGACTTATGTTTTCGGGGAGGCGATCGGAAATTAAATCGTTTGCTACGAATATAAAAAAGAAAATACATTTTTTCCTATCTGCGTCTGGGTTGTGAACGATTCAAAAAAATTACAATCATTCGCTTTCAGTCAGGAATCGTTCGAGTACCGGCTAATGGCGTACCCACCGAGTTTGGGTTCCCTTTCTGTCAATCGTCCGAGTACCGGCTAATGGTGTAACGAGTTTAAATTCCATCGAATCAGGTTGGGTTCGTTTTCTGTCAGGTATCGTCCGAGTACCGGTTAATGGCGTACCGAGTTCAAATTCCACCGAATCAGGTAGGGTTCGTTTTCTGTCAGGAATCGTCCGAGTACCGGCTAATGGCGTACCGAGTTCAAATTCCACCGAGTCATATAGGGTTCCCTTTCTGTCAGGTATCGTCCGAGTACCGGCTAATGGCGTACCGAGTTCAAATTCCACCGAGTCAGGTAGGGTTCATTTTCTGTCAGGAATCGTCCGAGTACCGGCTAATGGCGTACAGAGTTCAAATTCCACCGAGTCAGGTAGGGTTCGCTTTCTGTCAGGAATCGTCCGAGTACCGGCTAATGGCGTACCGAGTTCAAATTCCACCGAGTCAGGTGGGGTTTGCTCTCGTATAAATACTATAAGGTATGAATATATATATTCATCCTTTCCACCAACTATGGGTTAATAGCAAGTTAGACTGACCTCTCTAGCATCGGTTAGCAACCAATCTAGTAAAAGAAGACTTCTTAATTAAAAACCGGTTGGATATAGAGCTTGCAACTTCACGCCGTATAAACCTACGTTAATTGCCAGAGTAGTAACGCCTGGTGTGAATTTGTTGACGGCTTCTTTGTTTAGGTTGGTGAATGTTGCCATAATCCTTGCCTTCAGTTCATCTTTGTTATTAGAAGGAGATTTGTTGATCTCTCGCTCAACTGCTCCCCACACATAATAATCAAGGGCTTTGCCGTCTGCGGAGATAGGTGGTCAGATGTAACGAGTAGCAGAAATAGTCTAACAGCCATGACTGGGTTCTCTTGCTTGCCTGATATAGGTCCTTCCAGCAGCCACTCTCTTGACCCAACCTCCTCAGAGCGCTTGATGTAGGCCTCCGTAATGAGTCTGGGGCCCTCACCAAGAAATTCACGAGTTCTTTTCTTAACAGAACGATCAGAGTGAGTTTTCCGAGCTGATGTAGCTTTCCGAGCTGCCGTACCATTACACTCAGCTAACTCTTTTTGAATCCTCTGCATTTTCTTCAGATTGACCCCCAAACATTCTGAAATGATCGTATTGGAACTTCCTGCGCGAATACTAAACACTACAGCATACCGTTTTCAATTTTCTGGCGGAGTGAATTGCATAAGTGTGCTCTTTTTCTCACAGACGATGCCCAATTGACACTACTATGCTGTACAGTTGACAGAATCAAGAAAAAAAACGCGCATGCGCGAAATTAAAAATATAAAATAGCGACAATTTACCCATCGCAACCTATATTTAAAGTTTCTTGATACAATACAAAGAATGTAGCCAACAAAATGTTGTTAAATATAACTAGCAATATCCGTATCTTGATAATTTACGCAAATAATCGAACAAAAGCAAAACATTGAAGAGTTTATCTAATATTCTGTGATTTGGATGCACAACAGCTTGTTCGATAATAAGAAAATATAAAAATTAAACGGACAGACTTATCGGCTGAATTAAATAAAACTTATCTAAATGAATTATTGCTATTCTATAGAGAGACATATATTGTTTAAAATTTTGCTATATTTATGAGCAGAAAGAGATCACTATAGGAGAGAGAATGTTTATTGATATATCAAGTCATGTCAAATATGGAAAGTGATGGCTACATACGGGCATCTTTTTTTCTTCTTGTTTTTTTTTTTTTTGAACACTACATTAAAATTTATAAAATGTATTAAATAAAAGCATGATTAAACGAGAAAAATAATTTCTTCTTCAGACATTCTTTAAGAAAAAAGCAATCGAAGACAAACGTTTCTCTCAATAAAATTTAGCATCTGTCTATATTACTGAGATGAGGTATTATGTACACTATTTATATTATTCAGATTATTGTCCTCATCTTTGTTGCATATTTATTACAACGTTTCGGCCTTTTTCAGTATCTGTCTATATTTCTGAGATAAGGTATTATGTTACACTATTTACATTATTTGGATATATCCTCATCTTTGTCACCATATTTATTACAACGTTTCAGTCGTTGTGCTCAACCTTCTTCAATTGGTTGGAATGTCAGACTGCACCCTTTATTTCGCTCACTGGGTGAACTGTTCTGGTTCCACGTGCCATGTCTAATGGATGTCAGTTATCAGTTATCTCTTGCCAATTCGCCTCTGAAAATTCTCCGCTGCCTTAATCGGGTATTGAACTGCACTCTTTGGTCCTGTCACTGGATGTAACCGACGCCTTTATCCACTGTGTCAATGTGAACCCAGACTGTCTACCCCATTGAGCGATATAAAGGTTTTTAGTTCGACATTCCAAATCACCTGAAGAAAACTGAATTGTACAACGGTCGAAACATCAGGTAAATATGTGGAAAAGATGACGACGAAAGTCAAATAATGTAAATAATAAATATAAAGATTTAACTTTCAGAAAAACCGGTAAAAATAACGATACTGATATAAACAAAAATAAATTACGATTATGCTGCCACAACCGGATGTGCTTTAAATAGAAACAAGATGAAATGCTATTAAAATATGATTCGCCGATACATTATCATTTAATGATTACAATAAATACTATAGATTTATCATTTACTATAATATATTTAAAAAACATCTCAGTTAATTATTACCAGAAAACACGAGACTTCAAGAAATCCCTCCTCAGCAAAAAACAATGTTTATGAATTTCTGTCCGAAAGAAAACCTAAGATCATTAACTCATGCTCATGTCGTTTTGGCGTTACTTTTAGAAAACATAGTTTAAGAATTTTTACTTGCGGACGTCACTAAAAAAAATCAAAAAAAAACACTAATGTCTTCCATTATGTAATGTTGCCATTTTTTATTCCCCTGTTAGTTAATTATTGAACAAATACAAGACACCTCTTCCTATACTAAAACGATATGTTATTTAATGTAGTTTATTTTACTTTTAATATGAATGCTTCCAGAAGATGCGAGTTTTATCGACCATTGTAGACATTATATTGACAGGAATATTGTTTGTTAAGCTATGATCATATTGTATCTTATTCAGATAAGTAATAAGTATATCTACAAAAGTGCTGTGTTGGTATGCAAAACATAAACAGATTTGTTTGAAGTTGCAATCCACTATTCAGTGTTATATTGGTACATTTTTTAAGTGCGTTTTATTAGTGATAATAAGCGGGAAGTTTTAACTATTATGCTAGATAATTAATCAAATCCATTTGTTAGTCGACGGGGAATCTGTTTCTACAAATTATATTCTTAATGATTATCTCGATCTATTTATAATTGAGTCACAACTTTTACAATAAAGTTATTGAATTCCCGTTTGTATTAAGCTTCTTGTAAAGAATAATTAACCAACAATTTACAATCATTTTATTTATTTGTTGACAATATAGCGATGGAATATAATTAATGAAATTATTTTTAAACTTATATAAATGTCTAGTTTTATTAATCTTAATGATTTATCTAAATCTGCAAATTATAATATTAAAATGGGGAATACATATATTTTAATTTAATTGTTAATATTGACATTTAACGCTTTGAGAGTGGATTTTTAAAAATTTAGATAAAAATCCCAAGTATATTAACGTGTCATCGAGAACTTCTTTAGAAGATGATAAATTCAACAAAATGAACTCAATAAAATATTTTTACATTATTATACCCTATAATAGTCATTGTACGCATGATATCTTCATTGTTACACACTATATCACTTATTATATATGACAACTGCATTATTACGCACAATATCTACATTATTACAAACGATATTTTCTTTATTATACACGAGATATTAATTCTTATACATGATATTTTCATTATTACGCGACTTACGGCAATGTTATGTCGAAACGCCATTTCTCCGTAAGATCAACATAGTTAAACGGTAAGTCGGGCTTAGTAAAAGTACCAAGATATGGCTGCTTGAGGATATCAGGTGCTGTAAGCTTGGATGTGCAGATGGTACAATGGATAACGGCGCGGAATTGAAATTCAGAGAGACGTATTCCAATTCCACTCTGGTTCATTATATATAGATATGAATACGTGTTCTCTTCCCACATATTGGTCAATTAGTAGGACTTGTAAATTATTATAATCTTAAAAATAATCATACAATCTAAAATATTTTCCAGTTTTATATAACTTGCATAAGGTTGATCAATCGTAAAAAACTCAAGTCAATCAATCAATTATTATTACGCACGATACCTATTAATAATACATATATATATATATATATATATATATATATATATATATATATATATATATATTATTTTTGCATTATTCGGATATTGTCCTCATCTTTGTCGCCATATTTATTAACATTTCGTCCGTTGTACCTTCCGGTCTTCTTCAGGTTGGTTGGAATGTCGGAACTGAACCTTTTATTTCGCTCACTTGGATAAACTGTTCTAGTTCCACACATGCCAGGGTTCATTCAACATTACAACCACCTGAAAAGGCCGGAGCGTCCTAACAATGTAATATTAACATTAAATGAGACAACTAATCCAGTAATATAATAATGTACCTCATCCTCATCTCAAAATATATATATATATATATATATATATATATATATATATATATATATATATATATATTCATTAATACACATGATATTTATATTATTATAATATCTTCATTATTACCGGCGATATCTCTACATTCAGTTATATATCTTCATTATTATAGAGACATATATTGTTTAAATTTTGCTATATTTATGAGCAGAAAGAGATCACTATAGGAGAGAGAATGTTTATTGATATATCCAAGTCATGACTATTAATACAAATATGGAAAGTGATGGCTACATACGAGCATCTTTTTTCTTCTTGTTTTTTTTTTTAACACAACATTAAAATTTATAAAATGTATTAAATAAAAGCATGATTAAACGAGCAAAAATAATTTCTTCTTCAGACATATTCTTTAAGAAAAAGCAATCGAAGACAAACGTTTCTCTCAATAAAATTTAGCATCTGTATATTACTGAGATGAGGTATTATGTACACTATTTATATTATTCAGATTATTGTCCTCATCTTTGTTGCCATATTTATTACAACGTTTCGGCCTTTCAGTATCTGTCTATATTTCTGAGATAAGGTATTATGTACACTATTTACATTATTTGGACTATTATCCTCATCTTTGTCACCATATTTATTACAACGTTTCAGTCGTTGTAATGCTCAACCTTCTTCAGGTGGTTGGAATGTCGAACTGCACCTTTATTTCGCTCACTGGGTAGACTGTTCTAGTTCCACGTGCCATGTCTAATGGATGTCAGTTATCAGTTATCTCTTGCCAATTCGCCTCTGAAAATTCTCCGCTGCCTTAATCGGGTATTGAACTTTACACTCTTTGGGTCCTGTCACTGGATGTAACCGACGCCTTTATCCACTGTGTCATGTGTCCTTGAACTGTCTACCCCATTGAGCGATATAAAGGGTTTAGTTCGACATTCCAACCACCTGAAGAAGGCTGGATTGTACAACGGTCGAAACATTGTAATAAATATGGCGAAAAAGATGAGGACGAAAGTCCAAATAATGTAAATAATGTATAAGATTTAGCTTTCAGAAAAACCGGTAAAAATAACGATACTGATATAAACAAAAATAAATTACGATTATGCTGCCACAACCGGATGTGCTTTAAATAGAAACAAGATGAAATGCTATTAAAATATGATTCGCCGATACATTATCATTTAATGATTACAATAAATACTATAGATTTATCATTTACTATAATATGTTTAAAACATCTCAGTTAATTATTACCAGAAACACGAGACTTCAAGAAATCCCTCCTCAGCAAAAACAATGTTTATGAATTTCTGTCCGAAAGAAAACCTAAGATCATTAACTCATGCTCATGTCGTTTTGGCGTTACTTTTAGAAAACATAGTTTAAGAATTTTACTTCAGCGGACGTCACTAAAAAAATCAAAGAAACACTAATGTCTTCCATTATGTAATGTTGCCATTTTTTTTATTCCCCTGTTAGTTAATTATTGAACAAATACAAGACACCTCTTCCTATACTAAACGATATGTTATTTAATGTAGTTTATTTTACTTTTATTATGAATGCTTCCAGAAGATGCGAGTTTTATCGACCATTGTAGACATTATATTGACAGGAATATTGTTTGTTAAGCTATGATCATATTGTATTTTATTCAGATAAGTAATAAGTATATCTACAAAAGAGTGCTGTGTTGGTATGCAAAACATAAACAGATTTGTTTGAAGTTGCAATCCACTATTCCAGTGTTATATTGGTACATTTTTAAGTGCACGTTTTATTAGTGATAATAAGCAGGGAAGTTTTTAACTATTATGCTAGATAATTAATCAAATCCATTTGTTAGTCGACGGGGAATCTGTTTCTACCAATTATATTCTTAATGATTATCTCGATCTATTTATAATTGAGTCACAACTTTTACAATAAGTTTATTGAATTCCCGTTTGTATTAAGCTTCTTGTAAGAATAATTAACCAGCTTAATTTACAATCATTTTTATTTATTTGTTGACAATATAGCGATGGAATATAATTAATGAAATTATTTTTTTAAACTTATATAAAATGTCTAGTTTTATTAATCTTAATGATTTATCTAAATCTGCAAATTATTATATTAAAATGGGGGAATACATATATTTTTAATTTAATTGTTAATATTGACATTTAACGCTTTTGAGAGTGGATTTTTAAAAAATTTAGATAAAAAATCCCAAGTATATTAACGTGTCATCGAGAAACTTCTTTAGAAGATGATAAATTCAACCAAAATTAACTCAATAAAATATTTTACATTATTACACCCTATAGCTTCATTATTACGCACAATATCTACATTATTACAAACGATATTTTCTTTATTATACACGAGATATTAATTCTTATACATGATATTTTCATTATTACGCGACTTACGGCAATGTTATGTCGAAACGCCATTTCTCGTAAGATCAACATAGTTAAACGGTAAGTCGGGCTTAGTAAGTACCAAGATGTATGGCTGCTTGAGGATATCAGGTGCTGTAAGCTTGGATGTGCAGATGGTACAATGGATAACGGCGCGGAATTGAAATTCAGAGAGACGAGTTCCAATTCCACTCTGGTTCATTATATAGACTTATGCGCAAATACCATTGGGAAAGGTATGAATGCACGTGTTCTCTTCCCACATATTGGTCAATTAGTAGGACTTGTAAATTATTATAATCTTAAAAATAATCATACAATCTAAAAAATATTTTTCAGATTTATATAACTTGCATAAGGTTGATAAATCGTAAAAACTCAAGTCAATCAATCAATTATTATTACGCATGATACCTACATTAATACATATATATATATATATATATATATATATATATATATATATATATATATATATATTTATTATTCGGACTATTGTCTCATCTTTGTCGCCATATTTATTACAACGTTTCGTCCGTTGTACGCTTTTCTTCAGGTGGTTGGAATGTCGAACTGAACCTTTTATTTCGCTCACTTGGATAAACTGTTCTAGTTCCACATGCCAGGGTTCAGTTCAACATTACAACCACCTGAAAAGGCCGGAGCGTACAACAACCGAAACGTTGTAATAAATATGGCGACAAAGATGACAAAACTGAGAATGTAAATAATAGTACATAATACCTCATCTCAGAAATATATATATATATATATATATATATATATATATATATATATATATATATATATATATATTCATTATTACACATGATATTTATATTATTATAGATATCTTCATTATTACCGGCGATATCTACATTCAGTTATATATCTTCATTATTACAGATGATATCTATATTATTACGCACCATATCTTCATTATTACACCCGATATCTAAACTATTACGCACATCTTCATTATTATACAATATATCTACATTATTATGCATACTATCTTTATTATTACACACTATCTTTATATCATTACAAGCCATATCTTCATTATTGCGCACGATATATACATTATTATAGTCGTACATCCATTTTCGCAAAAAGCCTCAAGTTTTCTTCTGTTTCCACCTAAATAGAAATTACCACTGAGCTCCCTTTTCTCCTATTATTTTATATATTTTTTCATTAATATACTTAATTCGCGGTGAATTAAGGACTAGCAAGTGTTCTACTGAGTCAAATGTCTTTTCATCTTTAAAAGCGTGGACTAGTTATTTCGCACAAGCACATAAGGTAATGTGGTTGAATGTTTGTGAGATGCCAATTCAACAGGAACTTCATGCTATATATCTCATTTTATCATCAGTTTTGGGGAGAGATAACTAATTGATCCTTCTCTTTGCAAATAATTTCATGTAAACTTAATCAATTGGTTAACACTAAATTCAATCACAGTTTTCTCAAAGATAAATCGTTTTTTGTTTTGTTTTTTTTAGCATACTTGCTGTCCCATTTGAAAAAGTTGAGCGATGATTGTGTATTCTTTGAAAGGTATTGCGGTAGTAGGCTAAAGCAAGAATATGGTGAGAGCAGGGCTGTGTGCGCCCGCGAACTCACAAAAAAGCAATAAAAGCAGTTCTTGGCGGCCATTGTCGATAAGGGTAATTAGCGTTGGGAGATAAGAGAAATTTACAAGGCGGACAAATTGCAGGCTAAATTTAAGCGGGGTCGTACCAAACTATAAAGATAGAATAAAAAAAAATGTTTCAAATATTATGAAAAAAAAGGTAAAGGAGAAGAAAAGAAAGATGTAAGAAGGACAAGTTTTACAGGTAAAGTTCTAAAAATGAAATTGAATGTATATAGTAAGAAAAGAAAGGAAGGAAAGACGACTTTACGCTGTTATATAAATTTGAGATTATTACCAGCCGTTACCTTAATTTACTGTGTAATTTAACTATACTAGCAGGTCAACGTGACCACTTATAAGGCATTTATAAAGTTCAGCTTTGCAATTTGATATATTTGGTGTGTGCAAGGTTTTTACCACGGAAATAACGGTAAAAGATGCGTCCTGCTAAATAAATTCTTTGATTAAAACCAATATGATAAACAGAAAAAAATCCGAAGGCGCATTGGGATAGAGAAAGATGTCTTTTAAAAGCTAAGCAAAGTATTAAGAAACAAAAAAAATTCGTTAGAAACAAAGAAAAAAGTATTGAACTATTACGTAATATCAGTCCTCCTATATAACAGTGAATGCTTGACATTATCCTCACAGAAGTGACTTGAAGTAACAGAAATGTTGCTCTACAGAAGGATGCTGAGAATATCATGGACGGAACATGTGAGTAACGACGAAGTTTTAGAGAAAATGGAAACAGAAACGGTGTGTATGTGTGCGTTTTGTAAAAATTCATAGATGAATAACATATTTCTGTAAAGACAATGTCAATAAAAGAAAAGACAAAACGTTTCCCACTTTATCCACTGTGCCATGTGTCCTCAAGAACACATGGCACAGTGGATAAATGCGTTAGTTAGATCCAGTGACAGGATCCAAAGAGTGTCAGTTCAATACCCAGTTAAGGCGGTGAAGAACTTGCAGAGGGGAATTAACAGGAGATAACTGATAACTGACATCCATTAAACATGGCACGTGGAATTAGAACAGTCTACCCCAGTGAGCGAAATAAAGGGTTCAGATCGACATTCCAACTACCTGAAGAAGGCTGGAGCATACAACGGCCGAAACGTTGTAATAAATATGGCGACAAAGATGAGGGCAATAGTCCGAATAATGTAAATAGTGTACAGGATACCTCATCTCAGAAATATAGACAGATACTAAAGGGCCGAAACGTTGCTATAAATATGGCAACAAAGATTAGGACAATAGTCCGAATAATGTAAATAGTGTACAGGATACCTCATCTCAGAAATATAGACACATACTGAAGGGCCGAAACGTTGTAATAAATATGGCGACAAAGATGGGGACAATAGTCCGAATGATATAAATAGTGTTATTTTATTTCAATGTTTCTATTCAACGATTTATGCAGCTTATTTAGTGTGAAACCCGTGCCTGGTGTTTTTGGGGGGATTTTTGCGATTTCTTCTTAGAAATGGTGGCTAATTCTTCATATAACAGTAGTCCAATATTAGAAGGAACATTTATGACGGGATTTCGAATCCAATCACACTTTTCTGTCGGAAAATATTAGTTGATATTTTCGTCGATCGCTCTCAGATGGGTAACCATAATAAGGATCATGTCTTTAATGCAGATTGTCTGCATTAAAGGAAACAAATCAAAATTGCCCGACCTTGGTCTACTTTTACAAATCACAATGACAACATTTCGCACTTACGGATCACTGACTTAAAACTGTCGGGGTGGGTAATTGAAATGTAACTTTTTTTATCCAGCCTCATATGTGCTCAACAGGAATTTCTTAATATGTAAGCAAGGACTCAAGACTTCGGATTTCTGGTTCAAAGTTCCTTTGGATCCGGAAATTATGCTAATTTTTCCTGTTGACAGGGTTGTAAATATTGTTATGGTTGTTGTAAGTTTTTTTTTAATTTTCCAGCTTACAATCAGATCCCTGTTGTTTTTTTCTTTTAAATTCCACATTAGGTCAGCACGTTTGGTAAAGCACCTAAGACTTAATAGCTAGCGAGTACAGACACACACACACACACATATATATATATATATATAGAGAGAGAGAGAGGGGGAGAGAGAGGGGAGAGAGGGGGAGAGAGGGAGAGAGATTGAGAGAGAGGGGAGAGATTGGGGAGAGAGAGGGGGGAAGAGGCAAGCAGGCTCGTCACCGAGTGTTTAGAACGTTCACTTTCTAACCATGAGACCCGCGTTCAAATCACACCTGATTTGTTGGGAAGGTGCGGCACCTTTTGGAAAGTGCATGAAAACCATACCAGTGAGAGAAAGGGACTGAAGTCAAGATTCTCGAGGAAGATCGATTTTTGATCATTACAGAAAAGAAAAGTGCATAATCATGACACAACCATCTGTTGGGTTTGCTCCGTCAGCTGCTAGGAAAATTGGTTCCCTGTGTTGTGCGAGACAATTTTTCTCGCCAGAATTTATCATATATATATATAAGTCCATGCGTAGAATATTGCTGCCACATATGGTCCGGCGCCCCTGCTATTTACTTTGTGCTCCTCGATAAAATCCAAAAAAGAATCTGCAATATTATTAATCCTGATCTGGTGGCTCGGTTTCAGCCACTTGCTCACCGCCGTAAAGTTACCCCCCCCCCTCTGTATTTTTTCTATAAATACTTTCATGGTAATTATTCGGATGAGTTCTTTTTTGATGATCTATAGCATCGAGACTTTTTAAACTTAAGCACAGTATTAGTTTGGGTCAGTGTTTGTAGTTAGTTAAGTGTAAAGTTAAGACAGAAGAAGACCTCCTTTTTCCCCATTCCCCTCTCTTTGACTTTATACCACATATTCTGTATTTGAACCGGAAATAAATATTGCTCTTCGAATTCTCTCTTGCATATCTATAAGTCTACAATTCGACCATGTTTAGAATATTGCTGCCATATATGGTCCGGTGCGCCTACGACTTACCTGGAGCGCCTCTAAAAGATCCAAAGAAGAATCAGCAATATTATAGATCCTGATCTGGCGGCTCGGCTTCAGTCACTTGCCCACCGCCTTAAGGTAGCCTCCCTGTGTCTTTTCTATACGTTCATGGTAATTGTTCAGATGAACTCTTCGCTATGTTACTCAGACTTTTTAAGCGCAATACTAAACTGGTGTCGAGAACTCATCATTTTACAGTTGAGTTGCCTAGATGTAGCCGTAAGTTCTATGCTAACAGTTTCTTCTCTCGCACTTCTCTATTCGAAAAATACTTTCGCGGTAATTGTTCTGATGAACTTTCCTCTATGATACGTAGACTTTATGAATTTAAGCGCAGTACTAGATTGGCGGCAAGGTCTCATCAATTCACAGTTGAAATACCTACATGTTTTTGTAAGTTTTACACTAAGGACAACTTCTCTCGCACTTGTGGAACTGCCTTCCGAATCCATGATTTCCAGCCAACTCTAATCTTCGAAAGTTTAAATGCAATGTCAATCGCCATCTACTATCATCCCGATTAATTTTTTCTTCCCGCTAATTGGTAATGTTTCTGTTTCTTTAATTCTTTCACATTCAGTAAACCCTCGTGTCTTAGTGGCTTTTCTGCTTTGTATGGGGTGAATTCGATTAAAAAAAAAGGTCGAAATGATCTGATAAGTCCCCATTGGGCAAAACAGAGTGGCCTCATTCCTTGTTTAATGGAAATAAGGATATTGATAATTTAGTCAGTTTCATCAGGCTTCTTTATACATTCCAGTGAGGCTCACGATTTACAATGTCGAAGGCTTAAGTAAGATTAATGAACATCGTATATACTTCATGGTTTCATTTACTTCTTGGGCAAGCTGACGAAGAGAAAAGATCACATCTATGGTATCACAACCAGATGAAAAGCCGCAATGCAATTCATGGTAGAAGGCATCAGCAATATAATAATTGGAGTTGAGTCTAGCCTAGATTTTACCAACTATGGAACACACACACACACGCATATATATATATATATATATATATATATATATATATATATATAAGGCTGAGCATTTCGACAAGTCAAAAAATCGACCTCAAGTCCGGTGTTAACTGGTGTAAAAGAGGGCTTTTTACATTTAACGCCTCCAAAATTAAACTTCTGTCCACTAATCATCTGTGAGACCCCTTGCTTCCTTCCTTTAGCATGACTGATGCTAACCTCCAGGAAAGAGACTTGTTGGGCATTCTCGGCCTAACGCTCTTGGCTGACATGAAGTAGAAAGACTATATTGAATCCATTGCTAAGAAATTTGGTTCACTGTGTCGTCCCAAACAATTTTCTCTC